CACCCATCACATCACCCAGCATGCCAGCCATGTTGACCAACAGGTGTTCTACCCTCAGCAGGAGCCCCCTGTGGTGGCCTACATGGTCCCACCTGCTGCCGCTCAGCCAATGAGCTATGTGACAGCACCTCGAGCCTCGAGTGCAGGCGGCAACCGTCCCCGGCTGTACCGCCGCATGCCGAGCATCGAGTCTGATGTCTAACAGTCACACACAACACATTTACTCTCACCAAAACACACTAAACACACGCATGCGAGAAAGAGGTGTGTGTGGCCGGATCGGGCAGCTTTGATTCTAAGCACACATATAGAAACACACAGACGCACAGGTCAAAGACAAGAGTGTCCATCTGGACTCAAAGGTTAATGGTGATGCTAAATAAATACAATAAATCATGGTTTCTTAATCACACCCTCTAGAGGGCTGAGATGGGATCACAAGGACATCCGGGGGCACAGTCCAAAATAAAGCATGTGTGTCAGTTTGTGTATTGGCCTCAAGATGTGGGCAACAACTGGCAATACCTCTGACTAGACAGATCGAAATCCTGGTAGAATAAGAGGGACACAAAATCCAACAGTGGGATCTATGAAAGATACAGTGGAGTGTTTGGAAGATGAGCCACCTTGTCCTGCCCTCTCACCAGCCTCTTGGAGATGGAGACACAGAAACCCACCTTCTTTCTGAGATTACACACGCACACACACACACACACACACACACACACACAGTCCAACTAAACACAGCCACCCCTCTCCAGGACTTTCTTGTTGCACTATGATTTCTATCATCAACCCGTATGTTATCTGAGCCTCCAAACTGCACTGCCAGCATGGCTTAAAGAGTAGTAAACTACACTAGAGTAATCCTTGACTTGAATGGAAATGACTATCTATGTAATAGATGAGACTGGAAGGCTTGCAGCTGGTCAGGACACAGGTCTGAGAAGTATCAGCTCCTGCCCACAGATATTCAAGCACTCGAACACTCACACACACTGTGTCTGTTTTTATGGGAGAAGTAGAAAAACTACCAACTGTGTGTTATTGTTGATGTCAGTTAATTGAACATTCCAAAAAAGTGGACCAAGCACGTCCACAAGTAAATGCCTCTCAGGATGAGAGTGTGTGTTCTAGTGTTTCTACATCTGGAGGCATTCAGCACAGCATCCTTGCTTCCTGTCTTAGCTAGCCTTCAGGTCATACTGCATGCTTCCTACTGCCCTGTGTTACAGTTACACTCCTATACAGGGTCATATATGCACACACACACACATATATATATATATATAAATATATATAGATATACACACACACACGCACATACGCAGTAGTATAGGATAGTAGTGTAGGGTGGGTGTGTGATGAGGCTATGAAATAGCTTCTGTTTGTGCACTTTGTAGTTTTTATATCCTGCCACCTAACACAGACGTTTGACCAAAAACACTTTTATACTGAAAAATCTGAATATTCTCAGTCATTCGCTAGAAAGATGTTTTCTTTTCTGTTATTTCTTTTTGATATTGGGTTTTAGGGCACCCTTAATGGCACAGCTCTGTTGGCTTCCATCGTGAGGTCAGATGTTTCGTTAGATTATTATCATGCAGTAAACACAACACCAACTTTTAAGCTTTCTCTCTTTTTAAACTTTTCCTGTGCACATCCCTTCTTCCAGCCTTTTCTTCTTCCTTTGTCAGTTTTTGTTTATACCTTTAATTACTCCGTTTTTTTGCTCCTCCCCTGTTTCCTTCTATAGAGTAGATTGATTATCAGAAGAGTAAAGTTCAGTCGTGGTGTTTAAAACTCAAAATATTGTTGGAACTCACTTAATGTCAGTAGTCATAAGAATTAATCAGATTCGAAACTGGCTCTCGTAGGATACAGTACTTTTTTCTAATAACTTTATATGTTGACTAAAATAACTTGCGGCCCATTTAATGTATCCATAGTGAGTTTAGAGGCTGAGTGCATCACTGTTGTAGATTTACTCATCAAATTCATACTGAACAAGCCCCAGAGTAGCTGGTACTTTTATGGCTCTCTGTTGACGAGAACACGGTGCTGTGTGTCAGCAGAGAGAGTTACGTGGCAAAGCAGAGAGTTTGCAAAGTGACTTGTTACAGAGGCAGCACTCACACACACACTCGACGAGCTGGCAGTGTGTGTGTGTGTTCTAGAGATCCATAATCTACTGAGTAAGGGCATTGATTTTGAGCACAAGGATTTTAATAGAAAAAGGACTTGATATTCCATTATCTGAGCATCTATCTCTATTCTCTTTCTTTCTACTCTGTGTCTCACACAACACACACACACACACATCTATATATACTGGCTGCAAAGAATGCAAGAGAGTTTGAAACAAAAAATGCACCTTTGAACGGTGAACGCTGCCCCTCTTTTGGTAACCCTAACAGGTTTGGTGTGTGAGTTATATGCACAATATCAGGTTGCAATATTATACTTCTGTACAAAGAAATTTTTGTTTTAAAAGTTAGAAACTGATTTCATTTGTTTGATTTGAATGGTATTAAGTGTTGAAATCATTTCAATAATATTGTGGATTTTATTCTGCTTCTTTAAAAAAAGACTGGCATGTTTTAAACTCTTGTGTGATTTTATTTTCCTCTGGTGTGTCGTCGGTTGGTTGGGACCCCACTGTACAGTCCTCACACTGTTGGGTTATCAGACCAGTTACATGTAACTAAGCCCATACAGTAGCTGGGTCTTTCATGTGAATCACACTCAGTGAATAATGATAGTCCAGCCTGGTGGTTAATACAAACCTCCTCCCACCCACATAGTTCTCTACCACTACAACCCTGTGCTGTTTCACCTCTGAGTCTGAGCGAGTGTGTGTGTTTTGCACTGTGCAGGTATTTATAAAAGGCAAAGGATGATGTGTGTATTTGGAGTTTGTGTGTGTGTGTGTGTGTGTGTGTGTGTGTGTACTTTTCAGTACTCTCTACCCTTCATCCCACACATTTGACCTGGCTCTTACTCATATAACACCAACAGTCACATACACACACACACACACACACACACACACGTTGTGTCTGCACTGTTGTGGGTAGGAGAGCTTGTAGAGTGAGTTTTATTAGTATGTCCACCATCACAGATATTTTTACACCAACTTTTATTTTGTTCTTTTGATTTATTTATTTTTTTAAATTGCATGAATTGCTCGTGTTTCTGGTGGTACCTATTTTGCTGCAACACCTATGTTCTCCCTGAGTTAGATCCACTGGGCTACATGTACCAATGTTCCTCTCCACCCTGGTTAGTGCACCACTTCTCACCAGAGCCCTAGATGGTTGTGCTCCCTGGGTCCTGCACAACGCAAGCTGCCATCAAGGAAGATGTTCCCAGTCTCAGCACAGTTCTTAGCTTGGGCCAGGTGTACACACATATACATACATAAAGCACTAGGGGGAGATGTGCATTGGTGTGTATTCCTCTGGGTCTGCCTGTTGTGTATTTCACTTGTGTATAAGTTCAGGGGTTTCTAAGCTACTAGTTGTTGTAAATACTACCTTGTCACTCAGTACCTCTGTACAATCTGTAAATAAGTAAAGGTTACATTTTTATACTTCTCTTGTTGATTAATCTTTTTATCTATTTATCTAACTATGCTTTATAGATTAGAACTATGTCATAAGAAAGGACAATTTTAGCTACATTCACATTACCCGCTGAAGTGACCCAAATCAGTTTTTTTTTAATTCTCTCAAAGTGACTCAGATCTGATCTGAACAAATCAAATCAAATTTTTTCAAATCAGACCAAATGTGGTCTAAGATCTGATTCATGTGCGATCTCTGACTATGCAAGCCCTGTCAGAACAATCAGATCGAAATTTATGTGGGTTTTTTTAATGTCTCACTGCTCTGTGCATGTGCATATCGCCCATCATCGGCATTCAGTGTCGGCCCCTCACTGACTGGGACAAGTAAACAGAGGAGAGTAACAACAGTGACAGGGGTCAGTGGCGAGACAACATTTCACATTTGTTGGACATTTAGAGAGAACTGACTGATCAAGCCAAACTAGAAGGAACATGTTGTAGCCAAGCTGATTTTAAGGAAATGCGCTATTTGACTGACACATTGTTATTCTTATAGTCATGTGATTCACATTTCAGTGAAATGTTTTAGCATTAGGTTGACATCTTTGTTTTACAGTGAAATATTTCAACTTTTGAATGACTTTGAATTCATGTAGCCTATCATTCAGGAGGAATTGCAATAACTTTAACCTTTTAATTTATCCAAAACATTGATTTGTTTCCAGGCTCCTGCAAAACTAAACTGTACTTGGTGTTTATTCATACTCGGCAAATATTAGTATGCTAAAGTAACTAAGATGGTGATCCTTATCACTGTGAGCATATTAGCATTCTGAAGTTAGCTTTGAGTTTAAACAACTAAACCTACTAAATTTCTTAAAGTTTAGCCTCACAGATGTAACGGTGTGGTTGCAGACTCTTAAGCTTGTTCAGAAAGAAACTTTTGAAAATGTCCTTTGTTATTCAAGTGCTAGCTGAAAAAAAGTAAACAGCCATAGATATATTTCACAACTTAAAAGTTCTTATTACTGATCTATAAAGCCACTGAATACAAGCTCTATGTTAAAGTAAGCTTTATTAGATAGTGTTTAGCTAGCTAATTCGCTGTCTATCCAGCTACCTACTGCCATTTGTGAGATTCTGCTGCTAAAGGGCTCTCTCTGCCCCACTCTCCACAGGCTTTCATAATGTAATCTTAGCATAAGCATGTGTTTGTGTCACTGTGTGTAGTGTGTACTGTATACATACTGTACTGTATGTGTGTGTGTGTGTTTACATCAGTGTTCTGGTTTTAAAACAAAGCTTTATTTTTATATTTTAGTCTCCCTAGAGAGACAGACACTCTAATCTGGGCTGAAGTGGGACAGGAGAGGGGAGCACATACACAAACACTTGCTCTCTCTCTCTCTCTCTCTCTCTCTCAGAAACTCACTTATGGATGCTGAAAAACAACATACTGAGGCTGGAGGATCTGTCAAAAGCCACAGACCAGCTGCAGCCAGTGGAAAAGGGGGGTCCCACTGCAGCCATCCAGACATTTCTTTGAAATGTCTCGTGCAGAAAACATCACAAAACACACTACAGATAGTCTACAATGCCTTAAAAGCCTGTTTGTGAACAGTATGTGAGTACATGCATATGTATGTGTGTGTTTAACTATGTTGCTTCCCTTGAGACAGGGTGCGAAGACCACAGTGGCCTAATTCTTCCTGATGTGATCCATATGCTAGTAATGGGCAGAGTAACAAAACACACTCAGACACAAGCCTCTGCCTCTTATTTAATTAACAGAATTGAGCTGTCCCATATATCAGCCTGTAATGCAATTACTGTAACACACAGGAGTGGCATACGTGTTTCTTGCAGTAACACACAACACACTCATACATGCATGTGCATATTCCTGCAGATACACAGATATAATCCTAGGGCTACACACACACACAGACACACACACATACAAGACTGGGCGTTCTACAACTGTAGGGGCGTGAGATGAAGCAAATAAATGAAGATAATTAATTTCCTGGATTAAGAACATCTCCATTTGCTCTGGAGAGGAGTCAGAAGGAAAACAAGAGGCATAAGTCAGAGGGAAAAATAAGACATGGAGCAAAGGATGATGGAGGACGATGAGGGTGATAGCACTGACTTGACAGGCTCACTGTAGGCTGTTAGCTCTTCCCAAGACTCCAAACATCCTCATTAACAAGAAGTCAGCCTACACACAAATTAAGTGTGTATGTGTGTGTTTGCATGCATGCTTGTGTTCTTAAACTGTTGTGATTGTATGTGTGTGAGAGAGAGACAGAAGGGGGGTGGGGGAGCAGCGTGTCAACCTACACACCAAACAAACCCATGAAAATTCATAAGGACCTGGCAACGCCTACTCACAAATACTAAAAATACTGGAGTGAGTTGAGCCTAGTCAGAAGAGAGGAAAGGAGAGGAAGAAGAGTGAGAGAGAAGATGAATCGAAAGAATTGAGAGTGCAGCAGTAGCAGAGGAGGAGGGAGAGAAGACGAGATAGGTGTAACATAAACCAGGGGAGAGTAGAGCAGAAAAGAGTAGAGAAGTAATAGTTACATCAACTGCATCCAACTTGGAACATCTATTCTCAGCCTCCAGTGGTTTGCACTTGCTGTGTAAAAGTGTGTGTGTGTGTGTTTTGGTGTGAAATTTGGTGTGTTTTCCTTTTTTTTTTAGGAGATCACAGGCTTAAGGAAAATGAAATGTTTCACTTTCTCTCAACATGTTGACATTCAGGCCTCTATGTGTGTATGTGGACCTCTATGTGAGTGATGGGGGGGGGGATTGGCAGCATTTAACTGTCAAAGTTATCCACCTGCCAGGGACGAAGGACGGGCTCATTTTGCCCTAAGAACTGACATATATTCAAGAACGACATTTTGTTTTGGGTGTCTGATTCAGGGCAAAACAACTCATTTCACAGCTGTGATGGTGGACTTTCCGCAGGCTAATTCTGACAGATGAAGTTTGATTGACGCAGTCTATCTCATTTCTGTTCACATTAAAGGTTTTCTAAGCTACTAGTCGTATTTTTTATGGTTTAGTCCTGGTGAGGGAGAACTGGGGTTGGACTCAAGATGGCTGACCCAGGTGCTAGTACAAAAAAAGGTGGTTTAATGGAATAAAATCATGACAACAAAACAAGGTCCATAATACATGCAACAAGGGAAGGGCAGTGATGACTAAGGAGACCAGGATGGTAAACACACAAACTAACGACAGGAACTAGGATAGCAAAGGATGAGAACGGACAGGTGAACAAAAAGAACCAACGTAAACAATGTAATCCACAGCACAGAGACTGTCAGCGTGGAAGACAAAGCACGTATTTCTGTGTGCATAATTAGCGTGATAAGGTCAAGCCAAAACGCACAGACTGTCAGCGTAGCATCTTACACACGTCTTTAAAAAAAAATAAAAATAAAATAAAAATAATAATTAAAAAAATAATAATAATAAATGCGGGTCAAACACAACCTTTGTAACTTACTTTAAGAATAGTACGTTAATTTTGATGAGAAGATTACTACTCAAATTTATGAATCTACAGCCAGCAGACGGTTAGCGTTGCACAGCCTGAAAATTAGTAGTTAACACATTAAAACCCCGGCCTGTTTTTACCCTTTATTTTTTTCTATACAGATTCAACACTATCTGTTAGACAGTGAGCTTTAGAGGTGCTGATAAACACTTTTTGTTACCTTTGGAAAGGAACATGCTAGCTCTTTCCCCCCTGCTAACAGTCTTTATGCTAAGCTAAACCAACCATCTCTTGGCAGTGACTAACATATTTACTGTGCAAACCTCAGCCAGAAACTCTCAACAGCAAAGCAAATAGGCTCATTCCCAAAAATGTCAAACTATGGCTTTAATACTGGGCTTGGGAGTTGTATATTTATTTATTACACAGCATTAATTGATTTTCTCTGACTGAGGAAACAAACACAACTTGACATATCACCTTTTAAAGATGTTATGTCAAACATGTTAGCAAACAGCTGCTCTTGTGCAGTTGTTTCATAAATTCCTGAGGGAAATATTTCGCTCTTCAGCTGCTAAATGCTCCACTGTGTTCACCTACTAGCTGCTAACTTTGTCTGTTTGCCCGTTGGTGCTGAGCTGAGAGATTAGTGTGAATCTATGAGGGTTATTTTACTGAAAACAGCTGCCGCCAAAAACTGTTGAGAGCTGTGACAGTCAACCAAAACAAAAGGTAAAGGTTAAAGCATCAGTATTTCAAGAACTAGCTTGAAATGTAGGAATGAGCATTTTGTAACATGAATTTTAACTATTCTTTTTTAAAGCATGTTTGCCAACTTTGTGGAAGTGCAATTCTAAATCACTAGATATTGCCACTTTAATACCAGGGCTTAACCCTTGTGTTCTGTTAAGGATCTTAAACAACTCCTTTCACAGGAGTCTCTGCTGGTTTTAGTAAATGCTGTGAGGTTATGATTGATGGACACCACAGTCTCTGTCAGTCAGCCCAGTTTGAGCAACAAAAGCAACATGGCTTCCCTGGTAGAGCACTTTAAATCTCAAATAAGTGCACAGTGGAGAGATGTCATGCATGACTAATCATAATTAACCCCTACCTTACCATTTCTCTTTCTCTCTCATGCACATTAATAGCTCTGCCAGGCTATGCTTTTGCTAATTGCTGTATGCTAATCAAGGTACTTCCAGGTGCAGAAATAGACACAGAACATTTAGAGTAAATTTAGCTTTAATAACTTGTCTAATCACTCCATGAATGTTACAGTACACCCAGTCTGACACATGCATACACAGTGTGTAGGGTTGTTTTTATTCTAATAGAAGGTTTCCACCTGACTGCTGCTCACTGGGAGATGCTGAGAGGCATGGAAAGAGTTGGACAAACTGCTTCTGTGTGCGTCTCCCGCTACGAGCTCTATGTGTAAGAGTGTGTCCATGTGAGAGCTACAGCTCTCAGACTTCACACCATTTTGTTGTGTTTGTTTTATTTTGTCTCATCTATAAACGATGAAGCTCCAGGCCGAGAGAGAAAGAGGCACTCAGCACTCCCCCTGGGGGGGACATACTCGCCACTGGGCATTGTCCCCTCAGTGTCACCCACCTCCCCCAGCCACAACACCTCCTGATTGACAAATGAGGACAGCTTGTGCACGTATGTAACTAACATGAATGATTAAAAGTGAGACCATGCCCCAGCATTCAGAGGCTTCATTATATCCTTTGTATTTGGTGTATTTTTGTTGATAATATTGTGTTTGTCATCCACAAACAGTACTATAATAGTCATTACTCATTATAAAAGATGGCATTAATTTACGTTTGTGTTGCTTTACTCATTAAATCCTGGAAACAGTAATTTGTCAGAGCTCTACCTCTAAATTACCAGTTTTCATTTCTTCAGACTGCTGTTTACAGCATCCTACTGAGTGATCAGCGTGACCACCAAAAATAATGTTTAGCATTCTTGTCATCAGCCTTCAGGGTAAAATCAGGATTACAGGAATAATTTGCAGCCCAGAGAAGGAAAATCTTTGTCACTTCTCATTCAAGTTTGCAAAGTGACAGATAATAATGCAAACACTTTAGGCTAGTTAAGAAAATAAGTACATTTAATTTCTAGAGCACATTTAAACACAGCAAATTATAAAATGCATAGAGAGACACATACCAGCAAAACTGACCCATACTAACAGCATCGATGACTGGCAAACAGCAGGGGACAAGACAAAAAGATTAGTAGGCCAAGAAGGCCAGAAAATAAGAGTGTGTCTGGAGCTTAGATTTAAACACAGATGGACCAAGCACTTTTATGTCAAAAGGTAACTGGTTCCACAATCGTACTTCATTGAAGGATGACACAGCATAATTCAATGCATATTTTCTCTGTGGATACTCCGGCTTCCTCCCACAGTTCAAAGCAGCTTAGGTTGATTGGCGACTCTAAATTACCCTCCGTGGTGTGTGTGTGTGTGTGTGTGTGTGTGTGTGTGTGTGTGTGTGTGTGTGTCTCTAAGTGTCAGCCCTGTGATAGACTGGCGACCTATCCAGTGGACCCCACCTTTCACCCATCAAATTAACTTTAAAAATCCCTATAGAATTAATTACTCATCATACAATTTAAAAAAAACTCTACACTGAATAAATATTAAATAAAAACTAATAAATGCTGATTTGGGTAATAAGCTTACATTTCAAAGTTTCCAGTGATTCTAATTTTACTTTTTAGAATTACTGTACTTTTCCCCCCTTCGTTTATTAATTTAATTTAATTGAGGTTTTTGCCATGGTAACATAATCCAATTCCCAGTATCACAGAAATTAAAGGAAGTTAATTATTAAAGGAATATCTCTACATTTTGCAAAATATGCTTATGTTTCTTTTTTTTCTTGCTAAGATTTGAAAATTGATACCATTGTCCTGTTGAGCATTAAGTTGAGCAAATAGCTTAGCTTAGCTCTTGGAGAGGAGGAAACCAGTTAGTCTAGCCCTGTCTAAATTCAAAAATCTACCAACCAACACATGCCAAGCTATCTAATGAATACTTCATATTTTGTGTAACAAAACGACAACCTTGTGTGGTTATGGACTGCAGCTATTTCTTGCAAACAGTAGTTTATCTGCTGTTTCTGCCATGATGCTGATCTTTGCCCTATCTCCACCTTATGTTTTCCTCAGTTTGTTCTTCTGGACATATGGATGAATGATAATTATAATCACTTTTATTGGTCTAGTATGATTAAAAAGCACTTAAGAACTGCTTATTAATCTCAAATGACTTTAATTTTCTCAGTAAGAACAACCTTTCTAAACACAACTTGAACAGCAGACCAATTCAATTTCATATCGGTATGAACTCCCAAATATTTGTAAGAATAAACTATTTAAATCTGCTGATTATTGGTGAGAGCTGATGATGGTGTAACTTTTTCCTTTTCCTTTCTTTCTGGAAATCAACTGTCAACTCTTTTGTCTAATAATATTAAGTCAGAATTAAGTCTTGAAACTCTCAGCTGGCCCTAGGGATTCCCTCCAGCTCTGCCCTTCTCACACATGCACCACGTACTTTGATTAGTCCCTTTCAGTATGAGCCTGTTTGTTTCTTTTGTTCACTGCCAGTTTATCCACAAAGAAAAGTCTTGTGTAGCTGTTTCCACGGCTAGACTCACCTGTGTATTGGTCTGTGCCGTTAACCTCCACTGTTATCTGAAAACTACTGAGAACACACCAGTGAGCCACACTGCTACACCGGGTGACTTGTTTTTTTTCTTCCTCAGAAAAATTGCGGGGCAGCCTGTGCCTTTTGTCAAACACAAGCTCTAAGCCTTAAGAACTACTATTACTTTCCTGCAGTCTCTGAACCAAGAAAGAGTCAGTTGCACATTCTTGTGTTGGCTTGCAATGCTATCGCACTAAACCAGCTTCTGGATTCACAGACATCATGGTGAGTACATGAAATTCCCTGTTGGTTTTAAACTCTGTATGGGATTTGTGGAAAGTAACCAAAACATAGAAAGTCACTGGCCTTATCCTTTAAAATCATCAAATTTGGAAATTTGAACATCTGCAAACCCCATCTGCTGATCAAGAGCAAGCACTTCAAATTTGAGTAAAGTGTAATTTTGATGGATTTGTATTGAAACTGACACTGGACTGCCTCATTGTGTGTACTTGGGTAAAGTTATAAAATCATAAAATAGCAATTTGTTATCGTACTTGTCAGTGTCAGATATCTTTCATTTAAATGAACTTTATGCAGCACTGTTGAATGAGGCCATAAATTGTCTAGTTGTAACCACATAGATGTTTAAAAACAGGGTTATCTGTCCACTTTTACCCATCACTGACCTACATTAGTATATAGAGCTTCACATGGACAAGAAAATCCTGAAAGTCTACTTTATGAGAAGAATCCTTGTACAAACATGAACTGAATTATGTTCACACCAGAAGCAAA